AAGAGTGGGAACTGATAGCAGGAGCTGAGACATTGCTGCTTGAAGGCTGTTCATGGAGGCTTTAGTGAGTTGCAGGGAGGCAGCCCAAACCTAGCCCCAGGCTATATGGCCTTTGGGGTTTAGACTGCTTGTGGTCAGTACCAGTGGCCTTGAGGTTAACCTTAAGGTTAACTGAGTTATCAGCTTAGACAAAGCCTAGATATCGTGGCTTACAAGTGTAGGGTGAGATTTTAGTGTCTTTTGAACAGCTGAATCTGTCTTTTCCTCTTGGCACAGAGGAAGTTGATCAATACCTTGTTATAGACTATGGGGCCCTTTCTGTCCAGCCTTCAAAAACTTTTAAGGGAGTGAAGAGCTGCTGTGCTTTTTTTTTTTCACCTATTAACATGCCCAGAGGATGTAGTGGCCATCTGTCTTTAAGGCAGGTACCTCAGCAGACTGCAGGGAACATGAAGAGTGCCACTGGCCTTATCTCCAAGTGCTGTGGCAGTGGATAAAGAGACAACAGCCTAGTCTTTAAGAGTTACAGTCTCTATCTCTTAGCATGAGATTATATTTTCCTACTGAGCAGTGTTGCCTCTGAAAACTAGGTGGTTGTAGACATGGAAAAAAAAATCTAAGATTATTTCCTCTATTCAGTCTGAAATGCAAATTGATTTCTGACGAGTCCATGAAGAGTCTTCATTGTTAACCTTTTCCCTAGTGACTTGTGAAGCTGTAACTCTCCTGAATTTATTTTTCATGCAGAACAGCATGTATTTTCCCTACTGTTGACCTCTGACTGCGCTACAAGGATGAGAAGTTTTGAAGGGAAGACTGTTCCTTGCAGTAATCAGTGTAGCAGCAGGCATTTGTTGAGCCTAGGCATTCAGGACAATATTTCAGGGAAAAGGCAGCCAAATCTGTTTTTGGATGTTCAGACTCTCCTGAGAATAATTCCCAAGACAGCCCTCACAGTTTGTGCCTGCATTCAGAGGACAGTGTCTTGTATGAAGGAGCCAGCTGGCTTCTCTGATTCAACACAGGTGCTGTGTAGTTGCAGCCATGGGTTTCTGAGTGTCCCTGGGCTTGCTCTCTCTTTTTCTCCAAACAGTTTTCTGCCAAGAAGGCCCAGTTGCTCGCTGTGCTTCCCACTGCTCTGCTAGTGATTGTTACAACAACAAGAAGTAACCCTGCAGTGATTTCATCAAAACACTTACTCCCTGTGGTGCATTTCAGCTTCTTATTGGAATACTTTGGATTAACAGAGCCTTAGAGGAAGAATAAAGAAGTCTTTGTGTTTGTCAAGGGTTTTAACTAGTGAGTAAGTGGCAGCCTCCTAGTTTGCCGAGAGAAAGAGCAACCTGATCCTATGTATTTCTTGTATTTCTGTTTGCAGCCATGAACAGCTTCTTTTGCTGAGAACTCAAGTCCTTTTTTTTTTTTTTTTTTTTTAACTGATATTTCTATTGTCTTTATCCCCAGAGAGCTTGGTTTTCCCCTGGCTTTACACCTGGTGTGGCTGCTTTGCACCTGTGTTATGCACCTGTGTTATGCCACCAGTATCACGTGCAAGGTAACGCTCACTGTAATAGCTACAGAAGAGGTGCAAAGCGATGGGCTTTAATTTCGGCAGTGAGTGGCAGGTGTAACTGAAGCCAGAATTTGACTTTCATAATAATGGATGACCAAAGCAATATCCAAAAAAATTATGTTAGTCCCTTGTATCACCAGGTTCTGCAGTAAACAGAATTTATCAAACACAGGTGTTAAGTGTGATGGGAATTGAGGTGCATCTAGTTTTAAAATATTAAATAAACACATTTGAAACTCGGAGTGAACAGTAAGTCATCTGTGACCTGCATATCACAGGCTGATTAGTTTTTACCCAGTCACTCCAGGGTTGTACTTGCAATATTATTATAATATCAGTATGATTATGCAGCGACTCAAATCACTGTGTATGTCTGAATGTTCATGGGGAGAAAAAGAGTCCATTTACTTTTTATGCTTGCTGCTCTGGAGCGGGGGAAACCTTGGGCAGCCTGAGGAGTGACATTGGACTGTTAGCTGTATGGATGGTGTGTGAACATTTCTAACTTAATTTACCGATGAATGTATCTTGAGCTTGCATTAGCTGAGTGTTAAACGGCAATAAAGGTATTAAGAGTTAATGGAAAATGGAGTACAGAGAGGCTATTGCTTTTGAATAGTACGTTTTTGAATAATTGCATTCCCGGTTGATTTGTTTTTATAGATCTCTTCCATGTCATTCTTTGTGGTTTTTGAAGTAAATTTTTCTAAGGAACAGATGAAATCTAATTTACTATGTTGCTTGCATTTAACAGATATTTTATTGCTGTGGCATTTTATGTAAGTTATTAATTGCAAAGCACATTATGATGTGCAATTCTAATTCTAGCTAATTTGATTACCCTTGCAACACAGTACAACTTTACTTTAGGAAACTCTTGTTAGCATGTAATAAGATCTTGCAGCCGGGAGGGCAAAAAAACCCCAAGCTACTACATTTTCATAGCGCCGTGCTTAAAATTACAGTGCTCTGTTCTAGTGCTATGGAGGCGTGGAACAGCATGTTGTCCCTCTCCAGCACTGCTGCTGAAAGGATTGGAAAGACTATCCATAAAGATAACTGTATTTAGAAGTATTACCAAGAGTGGTTAACCGTCTCAGTGCTACAATCTTAACGTGGGTCCTTAGAGCACTGTGTGAGTAGTTAAAAAACTGCTTGCGTAATGATGGGTAGATGTACTGAGCTGCAGAGATGTCTGCTGCTTACTCTCTCTTTCAAATAGACCACAGATGGAAGGACAGTCTGATGATGTGGATGCCAGCCTGGGACTTAACAATTGTAGTTCGGTTTTCTGCTTTAAAGCTTTCTGAATAATCACTGAGATTTCGTATTAGGCTTTTGTGGGACTTAGCGGTAGTCCACATGAGCCACAGTTGCTTATCTCTAAAGTAGAAATAGCAGTGCTCTTCTGCCATCCAGCAGTGTGGTGAGGATGGTGTTTCCTCCAGGAACTGCTAAGATGCAGTTGTATGGCTGTAGAAGTACTGAGATGGAGAGATTAAACAGTACGACAAAGTTGTATCCAGTGAATGCCCTCGTGTAAATTTAAATGTAAAGATCAACCAGATTCATACATACATATCGTCAGGATTTTTTGGCAAAATGTTTTTCTACAGAAAAATGCTCTGCTGAGGGAACACAACTTTCTGCAAGAGTATTTTGGTTTCTGTGAAGCTTTCTTCATGAAGGGGCCTTTGTTCCAAAAAGAAGAGTTCACTGTCTTCATCTGCCTGTGCATCCCTTCCTGAGCTGGGAAAGGCCTAAGTTCAAGCAAGTCCAGGCTCTGTCTGATTCAGAGCAAGGCTGTAAATCTGTTTTCCGCTTCCCAGGTGATAGGTGCAGCAACAGTTCCTGGCTTTTGTGTTTCAAACTCCAGTGGAGTGTTAAGAAAAAAATCACAGAACACTTCCACGCTGTTCTCAAAAGCAGGATTCTTGTCTTTTGTTTTCCACTGGTGATGATTGTGTTATTAAACTGTTTAAATACAGATTTTGGATCATACTGAGATGTAGTGTAGAGTACCAATTGCAAAGTTTCTTTAATTGTTGTTCATTACCTTTGTTTTCACCTTTCAGGGTGTCCTCATGGTTGGTCCTCCTGGCACTGGCAAAACGATGCTAGCGAAAGCTGTTGCTACAGAATGTGGAACAACATTCTTCAATGTGTCTTCCTCTACCCTGACGTCTAAATACAGGGGCGAGTCTGAGAAGCTGGTCCGCCTCTTGTTTGAAATGGTATGTCCTCGATGATGTGATCTGGGGATCGCTAAGGTGAGAAAGGACATCTCTCTTGGTTTCCTGCCCTTCCAGTAGCGTGTTGGAAGCATGGATTTCATTGAATTGACAGTTTCAACACAGTTGACAGTTTTCTAACAACTAGTTAGAAAAACATAATCTCTGTGTTTCCATCCTTTTCGGGCATGTTGCTGAGGACTAAGAAGGAAATAGTTCATCACCCATGTTTAGGATAGCATTTTCCAGACTAAACGTAGAGTTGTGACCTTGACAGAAATTCAGTTCTGACTCAGTTATGGGATAACAAGCCCGTAGAAAGTAGATTTGAAATTGGAAGGGATTTAGGACTGTTATTCTAGAAGCAATGCATGGTTTAGTTCTGTTTCTGTTCCAAATGATGGACACAAGCCTCTCAGTGAAGTTGTGGGTGGGGGGCATCATGTGGGGTATGTGAAGGACATGCCCATGAGGACCTATACTGAAGAGTCATTCAACTCTTTGGGTTCCTCATTGCACTTGTACAATACTCTCAGTTAAAACCTGTCTCTGTTGAGATAGACTGAGCTCCCTTCTGTTCCCTACGCTTACCCCTCACCAGCACAAAAACCTGGTCATGAAAACTGCCTGTGTTCTGACTGCACTCCTTTTCCCCTTTGCAAGACCGATTGCTGAGGAAAACCAACCAACACTGAAAGACCCCTGACTCAGAGTACAGTTTAAAGTGTATAAACTTCAGCATATGCCAGACAGTTTGTAGATCAAGATCTTGAATTGTTTTCTTGTGACAGGCAGAGAAAATACATATGTAGTATGTCTAGTGGGACTAGGTTGTGGTCTGATGAGGGCCTGTGCTTGCTGCTGCCATCTTAATAGTGGTGTTTTCGTTTGAATAAAGGCGAGGTTTTACGCTCCCACAACAATCTTCATTGATGAAATAGATTCCATGTGCAGCCGCAGAGGCACATCCGACGAACATGAGGCGAGTCGCAGAGTCAAGTCAGAGCTGCTTGTGCAAATGGACGGTAACAAGTATTTAGATCTGAGTTTGGGGCTGGGATGCTGTTTCTTTACAGGTGGGAATGTAAGAACTTGAGCAATATGGAAAATCTGGCTTTATGGATGGGGGAAAAATAAGGCAGAACTTGAGAGTAGTATATTTGTGAGCGTTCAAAGGCAGATAACTGAAAAGGGTGTTTTGCTTTGTTTTTTCTAAAATGGCCGTTTTGATGGTAAATTGAAAACTCATATTTAAGACACTCAGACTCTAGCAGAAGCCGATAATGGAGAGTTGTGCACCTGGATGCAGGGCTTTAATTTTGATGCAATTTAAACAAATTTCTCCCCTTTGCTAAAGTCTCCAGCTCGGGGACCCTATTGTGAGATCTGATTTTGCTGTATTCTGTGGTGGCAGAATCATGCCCTTTTAGTACCTGTTCTGTGCAGGTGCACGTAACAAGGATGAACACCTGAGGAATGTTGTATGGCGTAGTGTTTGATAACCGCCTCTGCAGTGCAGCTTTTGTTTAACTGCTATCTATAATGTCCTTACATGTGCAGGTTCATTGTGGTAAACTCAGGGTAGGCAACTTTGTGCCCCGAAGCGATAGTTTCTTTGCAGTCCTTATTTGGGAGGCCAAGGAGTGATTCCTGTGTCTTCTGTGGCCAGATTTGACAGAGGTAGCTCTTTCAGTAGGACTAGTAGGGCTACACTCACATATAACTGTGTTGTTAACACTGTCAAAGAAAGCCCTCCCCTAACTCAGCAAAACAGTGAACTGTCCCCCTCTCTGTGACAATGATGGTCTTGTCACACCTAAGCTACAGGAAGTTTGGCAAGGGGCACTAGGACTATATAGAGCTGTTGCTTAGCTTTGTCCAGGCTTTTGCAATGTTTGTCTGTGCAGTGTTTCCTAGCGAGCATCTCAATTAATAAGAGCTGTGGAATGAAATTTCTCTAAACTTGTGCTTGCAGGGGTAGGTGGTGCTCTGGAAAATGATGACCCTTCCAAGATGGTTATGGTATTAGCTGCTACAAATTTTCCCTGGGATATCGATGAAGCTCTCCGACGGAGACTGGAGAAGAGGATTTATATACCTTTGCCCACAGGTATGTGCGCTGTGAGCATTTTCCTTTAAAATCGCCTTTGCAAGACAAGCTTAGGATTGCTGCAGGAATGTTGGGGTTGGGAGGGATCTTGGTGGTTTTGTGATGAGCAGTGAAATTCAGGGTTAACCATTTGGCTGGGTTGCTTTATTTTTAAAGAGTGAGAGAAAGAAAAAAAAAAACACTACTTGCTCCGGGGCTTGAAAACAAAGAGCTGCGGCATTTCATTGCAAGCCCATTGATGGGTTCTTACATTTTGAAAGAGAGTTAGTTTTAATGAGCCTGGAATTATTTTAAATGTTTAACAGTCAATCCTTGAGTGATCATCAAAGGCAGCCTTTGGACGTGTTCAGAAATATTGCAAATGCACTCCGTGCCCTTGCAGACAAATGCAAAGAAGTGGATCCATGAATTTTCACTTACAGGCTTAGTTCATTGTAAATCACGGCTTGCTCGCCTTTATGACCGTGCTTCGAGTCACTCGGAATGCAGCAGGCTGATTGCTTTCCTGCCCTAAGACGTCTCTGCTTGTATTGTCTTTCCTAGCTGTCATTCACCTGTCCTATTAATTTTGAGATTCCTATCACTTGAAGTTTGCATAGCTTTGTTTCTTCTTGGTACAGTGGATGCCTCACCTCCCTGCATGAGCACTCAGGATAACAAGATGCGTGTTTGTGGTGACAGCAGTTGTGATTGAGTTTAGCAGGTATAAGGAAACTTAATAGTTCTACAGCTTGTCTTTGCAGCTTACAGGCGGTAACAGCTCCTAACAGGATGCCTGTCTTTATGACCAATTAGTTTAAAATCCTGTGTGCTCTTGTTCTTGTTTCTAATTAAACCAGATTGATTTTTGACACAGTGTATTACACCCTGGACAACATACGAGATTTGCTTGAGTTTTATTTCCAATCTTCCAGTGTTCTGTTGCATCTGTTCTGTAAATAAGAATGTTGATCTGTTCTGGGCCAGTCTAAATGATGCATTTATAAATGTGCTGTGTGGTTTGATGTGGTCAGGCATTTTAACTGAAAAAGTGATATGGTATGTTATATGTACACGTGTATGTTGTGGAATTTGATGCAAGTATATATTCTACCGTGTTTCATTTTCAAAATACTACAAGGATTTGCTTAGCCTCATAGCAAAGACTAGAAGAAAATTCTCTGATACAGGACACTCTTTGCAGGTATGCTGTATGTACATTGTGCTCTGTAAATGATAAATCTGCATTTAATAGCGAGTGTGTGGTTGATAACTCTGTGTTCTTGACAGTTCTTTAAAGCACACAAAACCAGCAGCTTTAGACAAGCTTTCTAATTTCTTTCTATTTCCCCTCCCCCCAAAATTAAAAAAAAAAAAATTATTAGGGACATCAATAAATTAAAGATAAATGTGGACATTTCCTAAAGACTTCTAGCCTTTCCTACTGCTACTTCTTCTGTTGTGGTTGTCCTCTTTTCTAGGTCATAAAAATTGGTCACAGTGGAAATAAAGATGCCGAGCTGGTGTATTTTTCTGTACAGTAAAAGCCAGGAAAGCTTCATCCTCTTCTTTACCACCCTTGGGCAGAGTAACACTGAGGCTCAAGCTGTCAAATGTGAATTCCCTCTTAGAAGCCTAGGCTGCTTAACATATGTACCCAAATGCACGTATGCACATGCCCTCTACGAGATCAATGGTTTATTGGCTGCATCAGTGCTCATTTACACAGCTAGTTATCACTGTGCACACTGCATCTAGGTCTGAAAGTGGGATACCAGGACATTCGTGTTGTAAATATGTTAATGTATGTTTACTGTATTAATGTGTCTGTTTTCTATCAGGCTTCAGCAGCTTTCTTGGGTCCCAGCTGAGTAAAGTGCTTAAACATATGCTTAAAGTTCAGCCTATTGTTAAGGGGTTTGTGCTGTCTGAAGCTCTGTTAATAGAATCCTCATTGTAGTTCTAATGAAACTGTGTGAATAATATGCAATCAAACACTTGAACAGCGAGTGAATCCAAAGGGATGTGAGAAGAAGCAGACATTTGTAGGATTGTGCTTTTGTGCCCTTGGGTAGTATGTGACCAAATGCTTTGTCACCTGAGACATAACAGACATTTTTAATGACGTATGACTTTGGGAAATGTCTCTAGAGCATGCTGTTTTAATATACTACTTTTAACCATATACTTTTCTGTATTTGTGAACTTTGCTATGGTTTTGTTCTGTCTCTTTCCTTTTCTTACATTAAACCTTTTTGGTTGTACTTTTCACTGAAAAATCTTAAATTGTGTTTATATCCTTTTTTAATGTTGCTCTTGCAAGTCTTCAAACAAGTATTTTTATGTTGTAGCAAAAGGCAGAGCAGAACTACTTAAGATTAATCTTCGGGAAGTAGAACTGGATCCTGATATCAGCCTTGAAGAAATTGCTGAGAAGATTGACGGCTATTCTGGGGCTGACATCACTAATGTTTGCAGGTATCTCATTCCCCTTAATTTGCAAATAAAACTGCATGGAAAGTCGTCGTTTGCATTATGTGCTAAAAGACAATACCCACGACAGCTGAAGGCATGCTAACAGGAACTATGTTCGAGGCCCAAATCTATTCAGTGGAGCCATGTGATAACATCGTGTGGGGCGGTCTGAAGACCATGGAGTCTTTCTGTGAGATGTGGTTAAGTTGACTTGGATCTGAAGAGAAAAAAAATTCTTTGAGCAAATTTCATGTTACCATTGGCTGCATTTACTGCATTTGTCTGTGTTTGTTAATGTAGTACAAAACAGGTTTGGATTTTTTTTTAACTTATTTTTTTTAAATCCCATGAGTTTAAGAGCTAGAATTCTGTGATGCAAAGAAACCTTTCACAGAATACTTCTCTGGGGCTTCTATATTCTGTATGTTTGGACAGCCCCCAGTGCAGCACCGTCTTGGTTTCTGCCTGAATCTTCTAGGTGTAAGGGTGATACAGAATGTTTATAGCATTAGTATTGAATTTATTTCCATCCTGTTCCCATAATTTTGTTTCATTTCTTGACAAATGAGTCTCTTCTGGTGGAGGATAGGTATTTGAAAAAACCTATTGGAAGGAAGTCTGTGTCCCTTACAACATAAGGATCCTTGCCAAGAGAAACCGGTCCTTTAGGAACATGGTTTGGGACTTTCTTTTCTTCCCCTGCGGCTTTCTGAAATTATGAAATGACTCCACAGTTTTGAAAACTTGGTGTGTGTCACACAGTGCAATAGTTAAATTACCTGTTCTCCCTGAGGCCTGTGTTATCGCTTGCTGGGAAAAACCTGGGGAAAGAAAAAATGTAATTCCAGACTGCATGTGGGCCCTGGTGTGAGAAATGAGCAGTGCTGTCCGTGCCAGTGGGCCACTCTGGCAGCATCTAAGCTGGCGAGGAGTCACGGAGCGGGCAGAGCGTGAGGAACCACAGGCACGGATGGCCTCAGCCCTGCAGGGCCATGTGAGGCTAGTGTCTGATGCCTCCTGCTCTGCCCTTTACAGGTTCAGGTGCTGTGTGCGAGCAGGCAACAGAGCTGGGCTGCACTCCGAACGCTTGCTGACTGCCGTTTTGGGCTACATGGTGGGGAGGAGGTTGAGGTCTTAAAAGGATGGGGGTGCAAAATCCAGACTACTTTAAAAACAAAAAAAGAAGTCTTTGAGTGCAGTTCCTCTCCCACCCTGCCCTTTCCTGCACTGAAGTTGTAAAATTTCGTCTGTATGAATCATTGTAAAAGGTTTTTGGTTTTATAGTTTTAATTATCTCTGCACATTTACCATATGCTTAAATGGGTTTTGGTGCCAATGCATTCTTTACGTTGAATTAATGTAGTGGTCGGGAAACATAGAAGCTAAGAAAGATGTGAACTGCATCTTCTATGGTAAACAAATGCTCTCTTAAGTGTTCCTGACAGTAGTTTCTACTAAGAGAATATAATCAAAATTCATAGGCTTACAGCACATGCTGCTAGCAATTAGCTCCCAAACATTGTCCTGTATTTCCAGGGATGCCTCTTTAATGGCAATGAGACGACGTATTAACGGCTTAACTCCAGAAGAGATTCGTGCACTTTCTAAAGAGGAGCTTCAGATGCCGGTTACCAAGGGGGACTTTGAGCTGGCTCTGAAGAAAATCTCCAAATCTGTTTCTGCTGCAGACCTGGAAAAGTATGAAAAATGGATGGCGGAGTTTGGATCTGCTTAATCTCAGTGACAGCTCTCCTTTGCTAGAGTTTTATGGGTTTTGTTGTTTTCACTTGCAAAATGAGTTAGAAGTCTTTTTAAAGGTTTAATAAAAGGTCTGCCTCTGCCCCCATCCCGCCCCCTTCTGGTGACAAGATCTTTTAAACTCCGTTTATCTTTAAAGGGAATGAACACAATAATGAGCTGATATTGTAAAAGATATTTTATCTCTGAAATAGTAAAATGGGACAGACAGGAAGGGAAAACTATACTTGTGAGGATAATCTTTTTATTTTTCCAATGAAGAGCAGCGTTACTTAACCTCCTCATAGTCATCTTTCATGGCTGGAATCAATAAATCAGCTGAAGGATGTGACTCCCGAGGAGCTAACAAGGGCTCACTGTACCCCCTGCTCTTAAGTGCTACATTTCTGTTGAGCTGCTGACTCTGCCTCCGTTGAATGTGGCATCGAAGTTACTATTCTTTCTCTCTCTGCTTGGATATTCAAAGCAAAGCCTATGGATTAATTGGCATTATACAGAGGAAATGAGGATCAGTTTTCCATCAAGACACGGCTTGACTCTCCTCTCGTGTACACCCATTTGGGATTGATGCCACTTCAGACTGGATTGATGTTACCTGTGATGACTTCTGTTGGAAATCAGAGGAAAACAAAAGGGCCTTGATTGCTCTCGGTCTGGTTTATGCTTGATCTCGGAACATAGTTTGTACCAGTTTGACCAGTAGACACTTTTGAAGTTTGACCAGTAGGCACTTTGACTTAAGTTACCTCTTGCACTTTTATGCTTATATATCATCCTCTACTTTGTCTGTGCTGTCTAGATATTGTTATTATTTAAGTACCAAGAATTTAATGCAGTAAAGACACAAATATCAAGGCTGTCTTTAAAACACAAGGCTGTGCTTAAAACATGTGGCTGTGGACTTCCACTTCTTCCTCCATGAGACATGAACTGTTTCCTAGCTTTACTAGGCAATGAGATTTGCACCTGTTTATGTTGTAGAACTGTTCGGGCTTAATATTTTTTTTTTTTTAATGACAATTTCTTTAAAATGTGTAAATGTTATTGATTTAGGGGAAAATAATCTGTACAATCTCATTTATGTTCTTAACTGTTTCTTCCCTTCCCATGTACAAGTGCAGTGATGAGAAGGGTTGGGCTATAAACTCTAGCATGAGAAATGCTCTCTCATGTGTAACTGTCATGCTGACTATATGAGCTTTCCACAGACTCGGGCTGTGAGTCTGACATACAAAGGTTTCCCATGGTAGGAATGAGGAGGAGAGGTCAAATTTACAAAATAATATGCAAGCTCTCGAGTTTTTGGTGATTCTGTGAGCTAGGCTCATCGTATCTTGGTGGATGTGAGTTGCTGTGTGCTTCAGTAGGTATTCTGCCCTTTAGCTCTCTGCTGAGGCTCCCAGTGGCATAGCCAGATGTGGCAAACTGGAGTAAGAAACAGGTAACACCTCCTCTTGAATGGGAGTATATCCTTACTTGCTCTTTTTTGCTAGTTCTTGGAAGTTCCCAGTACTGTCAGTAATTCAGAACACAGCTCTTTTGGGCCATGACATGCGGACCACTAAGGCAAATGCTGTTCAAGTGTGTTTACTGTTCAATAGCAAGGACTGTCGGGATACGTGCATGACAGCTCTGCAGCATCTGTGATTACGTGAGCGACTTTTGAAGCCGTTTTACCGTTGCTGCTTTGTCTGTCAGTATGCCTTCTTCTTTCTTTGTGTGTGAAGACCATGTCTTGAGTTGATCCTGTCATCATAAAGGGTGGCCCCAGTTTGCATGGAGAAACACCACGAAGATTCTGCTAGTCTTGCATTTGACATGAAACTCAGTCAGGGCTTTAGAACCGTGTTTCCATGTGGCACTCCAGAAAAATATCTTCTGAGGCCCCCAGACTGGTTGAGTCACAGCTGCTGTTCATGTCTTTCCAAGGACAGAGCATCTCTGCTGCCTAGCGTTAGGCCCTGTGACACTCCCAGGCGGGGAGGATAGCACAAAAAGAACACCAGTTTTTACCCTCTTCGCCCACAGGGAGTATACATGCGCCTTTCCTGACCAGTTTGCACTAACTGCGCAGTAGAGCCCTTGGGATTCACAATACCTGTGGCTGTCAGACTAAAGGGAACCGTTCTCTCTGCGTTGGAAGTTGAGTAAGCAGAAACAGTGTTGACTATAATTTTTGGATAACTACCTACCAGGGCTGGTCTGTTCCTCCCAGGGAATAACTGGACGTTTATAGAGAGAAAGCTTTGAAAACATTGCTGCACTCTGTCATTTCTTCCTTACGAAAGCTGTAGGCTGCAGCTGTTACTCTTTTTCTGTTTGTATGTTTTATTGCAGTAGAAATTAGTAAAGCTACGCCAATGTTTTGTGGCCAATGCCAGATTAGCACTTCGGGGTCTCGCACTAGAGAGGCCATTGCTGCCTAACGAGCTTAGTCTACACAAGCGAGATCTAGAAGAACGTAGACATGAATGCCAATAACTTACCCTGTTCAGCTGCCCAAGGGCAGTGCTGGGATTTAGGAGCTGCTGCTTAGAAAGGTCTGAGTACTGATTTCCTCAGTTTCATATTGCAAACAGCACT